CAAAAATTTTTTTTGTCTGCCTCGCAGCACATTTTATTCAGGAAATAGTCCAAAAAATATGTTTTATGCATGTAAATATTCTGTTTCAACTAAAACAAAATAAATCTTGTTTCAGGAAAAGGAAAAAGGTTGATAGTGTGTCACATAGGAAGTGAAACCGGGTTTGTACCCGACGCCTTGTGGGCCTTTGAGTCGAAGAAAACGGGCGACTATCATGAGGAAATGGACGGCAAATCGTTTGAAAATTGGTTTACCAACATAATTCCAAACCTAGAAGAAAATTGTGTAATTGTTTTAGACAACGCCCCATACCATTCAAGAAAAGCTGAACAAATTCCAACTACAGCCACAAAAAAAGCCCTAATTCAAGACTGGTTGCGTTCGAAAAGTATACCATTCGAGGATAGCATGATAAAAGTACAACTTTTGCAGAAAGTGAAGGAACATAAAACCAAATATAATAAATACATTGTCGACGAAATTGCTAAAGCACATAATAGAGTAGTATTACGTCTTCCCCCTTATCACTGCGAGCTCAACCCAATAGAGCTTATTTGGGCGGACATAAAAAACTATGTTGCAAACAAAAATGTTACTTTTAAATTTTGCGATCTTAAAAATATTTTCAGTGAAGCTGTTTTGTCTATCACTGCTGAAAAATGGAATAATTGCGTAGGACATGTAAAAGATAAGGTAGAAGTGAAAATGTTAGAATTAGATCACATAGTTGATGATTTAGTTGATAGAAATCCGATAATAATTAATCCTAATGAATCTTCTAGCAGTTCTTCGGATTCTGAGTAACTGGACTAAAATGACAAAAGTATTTATTATTTTATCATTATTTTTTATTATTTTTGCGCTAGTATTAAATAAACATAATTTTGAAATCGAAAACTGTTAACCCGTTTGTCAATTGTCCTCCTAAAATAGAAATGTCCCCATTTTTTTGTACTTCATTAAATGTTATATGCATATACAAAATGGTTTTTGTTTTTCTTTATTAGTTAACCTTTGAGTAATTTTTCCATACCTAGTCGCATATTAGGTATTTAATAAAATTTGATAAAATTTCGATGGTCCCTAAGTGCGAGTGCGACTCTGTACAAGCACATCTGCCCAGGCCTCGCCTGAGGGATCACGTGCACTATGCATGACAATGTTTTGGTGCACTCCGTAGCTTCGTTGGATTTAGTTTAGTTACAAAGATTATCACCAGTGAAGAAAAATCACATTCTAAACTGGACGTTAACTCCTCTATGGTTTTGGGTACCTTATCTGCTGGGCTTGGCTATTCGCAGATTAATGAAATAGCAGCTTCCCTGAATATGCCAATGATGGCTTCAAACACTTTCAATAATCATCACGAAAAAGTGGCAGAAATAATCAGAGAATCTGCTTGGAAAAGCATGGAAGAAGCAGCAGCTGAAGAAGCCAAAATAGCGATAGCGGAGGGTGAAGTAGATGCCAATGGAATCCCATGTATCACTGTGGTGACGGATGGAGCATGGGCGAAACGTTCCTATAATGTTAACTATGATGCTTCTTCTGGTGTGGTATGTTAAAAACCGTATATTATTATGGGGGCTGGTGCACTATAAGTACCTCGATATTTGCAAAAATTTCATAATTCAAAAAGTGAGAAGTAGTGTATAATATAGTTTAAAAGCCAAAAATCTGAGGATCATGCACCTACTTTTTTTTTTATTGAAAACTAACTAACCCAAACCAAACCAAACAGCTGGGCACGCGCTCGTAATAAGTGCTAGTATGTTGGCATTTTAAATGAAAAAGACCAAATACAAACTTACTGGAACTAACCTGTCCTCCTAATAATATTATAGAAAGAAAAAACCCTAAGAAAAAAGAAAAACTTTAAAAAAAGGTAACAGTTTAGTAAAAGTCCCTCACACAAATATCATGCTTCTTCTTTATAGTTTGATCCCAAATTATTATTCTATGATCAAAAATGTTGGCGCAAATAACTAAGTATAAATTAGATTTTTTAAATATTGAGTGAATCCTCTTCTCGACCTTTGACACAGATCAATATACACTTCGCATCAAAATTAACGCACCACTAAAATTTGGCACAATTTCAAATTTAATTTTCTCGGAAACTGCTGAATCGATTTGGACATATATTTTTTTTAATTGTAGCTTAAATCTTCAGGAATGACTCTGTAAAACAACGTTTCATTTGAATCGAAGTTTTAGGCATATACAGGGTGTTTTAAAAGAAACCAGTTTGATGCCTAATTTTAGTCACATCCTGTGGGACTTTCCATCTGCACCAATAGATGTCTATCTGAATCAAAACATAGCCCCATCTTTTCTGAGCATTTTGTTTTTTTATTCACGTTTCTAGCTCTGTTATTTAATGAAATATGGAGTTTGAAGTTAAAAGCGTTTATTTGAGATTATTCAAGAAAAAGTTTCGGAAGTTAACAAAACAAAAACAAAATTATTGAAAAAATAATGTGGAAAAAAGAAGAAAGAAGAAGAAGAAGAGGTAAGTAAATCTAAGTATAGGCCATGGAAAACAAAGGCGCGATATTGTCATGGAAACAGAGACTACTGTCTTTATCTGTCAGTGATTTTTGAATTTATTCTGTAATTTCTCTGCATTTGGTGTTATCATTGCAAAATATGGAGCGTCAAACAAGAAATTTAACTCGAGATGAATGTGTGATGGCGACTACATTGATCCAGGAAGGAATGGGCTACCGAGCTGTAGGTAGAAGATTGGGTGTTTCTCATTCGACAATATTGCGCATATTTCGCCGTTTTGAAGAAACCAATGACCACAACAGGCGCCGTGGACAAGGAAGAACTCGGGGAACAGCGGCTATCCATGACCGATTTTTGCAACTGAATGCGTTGAGGCAACGTTTTGTGACCTCAAGACAACTAAGGGTACAATTAAATACTGCTCACAATATCAACGTTAGTGTATCAACTGTAAGGAGACGTCTGGCAGAAAGAAATTTAAGGTTCAGAATTCCAGCAAGAGGACCAAGGTTAAATGCAGACCATATACGAGCAAGACTTCAATTTGCCAGGGAACATGTAAACTGGAATGCTGAAGATTGGGAGCGAGTTCTGTTTACAGATGAGACAAGGTTTTGTCTTTACAGCAACGACCGACGAGTAAGGGTTATTCGACGACCAAATGAACGTTACTCGCAGTGTAATATTCGCCAAACCGAGTTATTCAATGGAGGGTCTGTGATGTTTTGGGGCGGAATCTCTTTCACTGCTCGTACTGACATCGTGTCTTTGCGTGGAGGACCTTTAAATAGTGCAAGGTACATCACGGAAATTTTGTCAGAGCATGTGGTCCCTTTCGCTGGGTATATTGGGGATAACTTTTTACTAATGCAAGATAACGCCAGACCACACACTGCGAGAATAGTGCGAGATTATTTGAATGAGGTGGATATTGAGACTCTGGACTGGCCTTCACGCAGTCCAGATCTCAATCCTATAGAACATTTATGGGATCAAATTGGTAGGCAGCTTAGAGATCATCAACCCCTACCTGTGTCTTTGAATGATGTAGAAAACTTTGTTCGAGAAATTTGGATTAATATCGATCAAGAACAAATAAGACGTCTGGTTCAAAGTATGGGTCGTCGATGTCAAGCGGTAATAGAGAGTAGGGGAAGAAACACCCGATAATGAATGTTTTTTTTTTCCACATTATTTTTTCAATAATTTTATTTTTGTTTTGTTAACTTCCGAAACTTTTTCTTGAATAATCTCAAATAAACGCTTTTAACTTCAAACTCCATATTTCATTAAATAACAGAGCTAGAAACGTGAATAAAAAAACAAAATGCTCAGAAAAGATGGGGCTATGTTTTGATTTAGATAGACATCTATTGGTGCAGATGGAAAGTCCCACAGGATGTGACAAAAATTAGGCATCAAACTGGTTTCTTTTAAAACACCCTGTATATGCCTAAAACTTCGATTCAAATGAAAAGTTGTTTTACAGAGTCATTCCTGAAGATTTAAGCTACAATTAAAAAAAATATATGTCCAAATCGATTCAGCAGTTTCCGAGAAAATTAAATTTGAAATTGTGCCAAATTTTAGTGGTGCGTTAATTTTGATGCGAAGTGTATAATATCTATTCTTATCAGCATAATATCACAATCGCTCTGGTTAGCAGATAAAAATTCAATAAACATGAAAAGCATCATGTGGTAGATATTTGAACTGAAAGAAGAGCTAAGTGTTTAAACCATTTTTCGAAAAAAAAAAAAACATTATTGAGTAATGATAAAGCGTATAATACCTATTAAACTATTGAAGCTTGTACACTCTAACCGACAGTTACTACTGTACTGTATTGAAACTGATCAAAAACATGCAAACTAACTCAAACTAACCCGTCTTTGTTCTGCGTGCTAGTCCCTGCAAACTATTTTGAGATAAAACATAACTGTTTATAAAGAAAAAACATGATATTTTTGTGAAAAACCTTCACTAAACAATTACCAAAAAAAATGTATTGCCTCCAACGAGAATCGATAACCCAGGTCCATTCGCTGCAAAAACCGTGCGTATCCCGTATCTTAACAGGCGCAACGAAAATAGTACAAACTTAAAATATTTTTGAAAAAAGTGCATTATCCGCAATTTTTATTCAAGAAATCCTTGAATAATTCTCTACTCAAACGAATTATGTGTCTATCAAACCCCAATGAGTGTGGCACTGAAGTGATAGGGCACCTAAATGATATAGACATATAGTTAATTTAACTTTTGAGTTGTTTTTTTTTTGAAAAAAAAATTTTTTAGTGTTCATCCTCACTTTTTCGTATTTCAAAGTCCTGCTATAATCATATATTGTTTCCACAACTGTAAAATGTCTAGTTTTGAGGTACTTATAGTGCACCAGAGCCATTATTATTAGTATAAGATAGGAATGCAAAAAATTACTATCTATTTATATTAATGGTCATTATATTATTAAACCCATCTAAATTTAAGGCTTGCATTATCGGGTACAAAACTGGAAAAATATTGTTCCTTGGTCTAAGAAACAAATATTGTTCACTGTGCTCATGGTATAAAAACAAAAAAAAAGACGTTCCAGTCCACAACTGCTACAAGAACTGGAGTGGTACATCCACGTCAATGGAAACCGACATAATATCTGAGGGTTTTCAAAAAAGTTTAGAGTTGTACAATATTAAATACACCAAAATGGTTGGAGATGGAGACTCTTCAGTATACAGAAAGCTTTTGCAAATAAAACCTTATGGTAATTTATTGGTCCAAAAAGTGGAATGTAAAAATCACTTGCTTAGAAATTTTGCAAAGAAAATACGAGAAGTTTGCAGTAAGTATAATCTCGATTATGGAAGAAGACCCTGAAGTATTCGTGAGTTTTTTATTTTATTTTATTTGTTTAGGTAAAAACCGTAGTAATTCTAAAAATTTACCTGTCCCGTTGGCACTTAGAAAGGAGATTTTCAGTAGGTTTATGAGATTGAGAACTGCAATAACGAAGGCTACTACGTATAGAATAGCTGAACAGACAACAATGGACAAAAAAATAGCATTACTGAGGGGTGATATCTACAATGCACCAAGTCACATATTTGGTGAGCACGCCAGATGCAAGGAAATACAGTATTTCAAATGCGAAAAAGAAAATGAACACAATCTCGTTCCAAGTATGCAAGACTGTGGAATTTACGAAGATATTATAGTAGCTTTGCAAAGAGTTGTTGATAACACCAGCAGCTTAATCTTGAATATGGACAACAATCTTGCGGAGCATTATAATAGTGTTGTATGCAAATTCGTTGGTGGCAAACGCATACTTTTTTCGAAGAGAGGCTCCTACCAAACGCGTTGTGAGGCTGCTGCGTTATCTTTTAATTCTGGTGGAAATTATTACAGATTTCTTCACGAAACTGTTGGCTCAAGTCCTCAACGTTATACGAAAAAATATGTAGAGACATGCAAGAAAAATAGGCTAATCATTAAAAAAAGGATATTTTCCAAAAAAAGAACAAAAATTATCAAACAGTCTCTCGCGGATAAGGATTATGGTCCTAATGCTCACTATATACCTTTGGATTTAAATAGTGATATTTACATAGAAAAGGAAAAAGCATTTTTGCAGGAGCTAAGAAAAGATCCGGAGGAAATAAGTGACATTCAAAAATCCACTATAGGTCAGGCCTTCAACCCAAAATGGTTACAAGAAAGGTCACTTAGAATCACAGCCTCAAATTTCGGTAAAATTTGTAAGATGCGACCAAAAACTTCACCGAGGAACACCATAAAAACTTTATTATATGGAACTTTCACGGGAAATAAAGCCACAAAGTATGGCAACGAAAGTGAGGCACGAGCCATTTTAGAATTTGAAAAAAAACCAATTTACAAGTTGTACCTTGTGGGCTGTTTATAGGGGAAAAGGAATACTATTTAGCTGCAAGCCCGGATGGTTTTGTTATAGAAAATAATGTCCTAATAGAAGTCAAATGTCCCTTCACCATCGCCAAAATGGATCCAACAGAGGGAATTCAAACAGGAAAAATTACTTTTGCCACTATAGAAGATGGAGCATTGAAATTGAAAAGAAACCATAACTACTACTATCAAGTACAAGGTCAGTTAGCTATAGCTAACAAACAGTCATGTTACTTTATTATCTGGAGTCCTTTCGGCATTTTAATTGAACAGGTAAAGTCTCTTGTCCTACCTATGTCTTATAAATGGGAAATGAGATGCATCAGGAATGCGATATTACTGGATCTAATTTTTTTTTTTTTTAGATAAATCGAGACGAAGTATTTTGGAAAGAAAAAATGTTACCTAAATTAAGAGCATTTTATGACTATTTTCTGTTGCCAGAATTAGTAGACCCACTTTTTCCAAAAGGGCTACCTATTAGGGATCAACTTTGTAACACTAAATGCTCCAATATTCCAGACAGCTAGAAGGGATGCAATATTATTATTATTTTTTTTTTTTTCAAAATATTGGACAAATCTCAGGGTACAAGACAATAAGCGCCAGGGCCAGAACTCAAAATGAGTCTCACCATATATTTCTTCATTATAGACTAGCTGTATCCTGCTACTTAAATTAACCTAAACTATCCCACAGGAATCGTGCATTTTTCCGGGATAAAAAGTAGCCTATATAACACACCCCTTTATATAGAGATACCTACGTTGTTTTATTTTCAAGTCAATCGCCCCTACAATTTTATTGTTGACCAAATACACAAATTAAATTATATTTTTAAATTTAATTTAGTTTTCTTCAATGTTTCCGAAACCCCTAACTACTATTTCTCAATACTTTACTTGTGAATGTGAAGTAAAAACTCCCGTAAAAACTCTAATAAATAATAAACATAACAATAAATAATTAGATATTTATTTGAAAATATTTATAATAGCTAGTCCTGATCTGAGCTATGTCGTCGTCTAATAGGTAAATCAAATCTCGAAATCTTCTTGATCCTTTGATAATGCATGTAAAAATACGCACTGTTGCCAGCGCGTAGGAAACGGGCGACCGCGCGTGTGTTCTCGCCGGAACCCCGAATTGCATCGAATCAGCTGATGAGCAATGCTCTTAAATAAAATTCTAGAATTTTACCCTGAGGTTGCCCAAACAATAACTTTCACCTTTCTGGTGTTTAATTTGCCTGTTGGTAAAGTGTAACCGATACTGTATTTTTTTCATCATTCACAAGTGTGAATACCAAACAGTTTGTCATGTTTACTTCAAATTCATATTTATCTATACATTATTTACATTCATTTTTTTTTATATATATTCAAATATTTATAAATTAGGTACAAGCCTGAATCTATACATTTTTTAATAACGCCCTGGCTATCCATATTTAGGTTTGTAATTATTTCTAATAAAGAAAGCCAGCTACATTATTGTACCTTATTAGTTGTTTTATTGCTAAGATTTCCAATTGCACAGGTTTTGTTTATGACATCATTAAGTAAACTTCCTAGTTAAGTCACAATTAACTTGGTGGCGCCCAAAGATAAGATGTATACAGGGAACCCAAAAACCCATGGCCTTCGAATTGATGCTGACTAGCCGTACGCAGTATAATTAGGCAATTGCCAAAAAAGTACGTTATACCCACTGTCTGCAATCGTCTCATTTGACCGATAAAGAGCACATAATAAAAATTGAAATATTGCTCGAAGGGGAAACCAAAAAAGTGCACGGAAATGCCATGAAGACTTTCACGCAGCCACAGTTTCCTCAGCTTAGCATCAGTTGTAAACCTATGGAGAGACAAACTTTCGCCAGTGGATATTTTCAAGGTCAATGCAATTTGTGTAGAGTCTAATTTAGTGATAAATTCCTACAATAACGGTCATCCGGTTCATATACTGCACATGTTCTATTTAAAATAGTTGAAAAACCCTCAAATGTCATTTATTTGCCAATCAGTACCCGATACATTGATGAGATTTTATTGAAAATTACTGATCAGTGGAGAAGCCATTAACTTCCGCAGTGAATTGATAACGGTTCGATAACATTTAAGAAAAGCATAGAAAAAAATGGTATTTTTACATAATCATAATTCATTTAGTGCACCTTCCGATAACAACAATGACAACGAAAAGGACAAAAACAAGTCAGTGAAGGAAAATCAGTCAAACGGCTAACAGTGCAGATTAAAAACTTTTTGACTTCGTTAGGCTTCAAGTTGAAAGTGCAGTTATGATAACAGTAGTGTCATCATTTCGATAAAAAAGATATTTATACAATTTTGGGTCAATATTAAACTACGTGTGGGTTGTAGCATAAGAAGAATTATTATATCTATTAGATGTAATTTGAAGTGTACCGAAGAAGGTGAAAAAGAAGAAAATGAGTCGTAATATTTTGGAGGTTCATCTTTTTGAGTTTATCATAGCGTTACTGCCAAGCACTATTACGCTGGAATAGATGAGTAGTAGAGAATAGGCGGTACTGGGACACTCGATGGCAGGCGGTTCTCGGACACCTCGATGTCCACACCTCACCTGTGCCGAAGAAGTAATTAGCAGTGACCTAAAATGTCTTACTCCAAATTAAAAAAAAAAAGTCTAGTGTCTGTGTGGAATCGAACCGTTGACCATTCACTCAAGAACGACTAGCCATAACCACTAGACTGCTATAGACCTTGAATGTAACTAGGAAAATGTTTGTTCTGATGAAGAGACTTGTACGGCTAAAATTTAAAATGGGAAAAAATTAAAAAAAGTTCTCATGTCTGTGTGGTATCGAACCGCAGTCCATTCGATCAAGAACTCAACTCAACTCAAAAATCTTTATTTCAATAAATAAACATGATAGTACAATTTCAGGTAGGGGTGTTAGGCCCCCCTCAAACTAAAAACATACAACATTAACTTAAAACTAGTACATAGACTTTGTTGAAGAATCTTTATTAAATTTATGTTAGCGTATAATTAATTATTAATCAACGTTGGTTTAACTAAAGTTGGCATCTTATCGTTGGTGACAATATTTTTGAATTTGAAGATTATTATTCGCGCGCATAGCATTGATTATTTTTGATAATATCCACAGGTTTGAATGATAAAACTCACATACGTCACCAGCGCAAAACCTGTATCTTTTTGGTACTACATACGGGTCCTAAAAATAGTAAAATCACTACGATTGAACCCGTCCGACAAGGCACCAGAGAGTACCGTCGCGTGTTGCGTGTGAAAGGGCATGCAACTTTTCTTACCCTTACCTTTATCGTAACTTTAATTTGTGGTGACAAAACAATTTTCGGCTTTCGGATTTTCGGAATTATTGAAAAACATTTACTAACTCAACTATTGTGCTGGGTGGATTGAGCAACCCAAAGGAAGTGTTCAGAGGGCCCTCTTATTCAAGAATTTAGTGATACGCTTCAAGATAGGTGAGTGAGTTCTTATTAAATTCAAATCTTGTGCATATCGCGATCGATTTGATTAACCCAATTATACAGTCCACTTATCATTTTCATATTTCCTGCACAGACTTAAAACTAAGAACTCCGGTGTGGCGCAGCACACCGTGACCCAGACACGCCTAGCGCGCTGTTTGGACATGTTTTAGCACGGTCTGATGTTATGACCAACAAGCCCCTGTCCTATCCTTGCTTGAAACTGATTTCGCAGCGTTACCTGGTCTCTCTTAGACGCTGTTTTAATGACCCTAGTGTCGCTGACAACTATCATGGTATGGGAAGCATTGGACCATTACACTGGCCTACCAGATGATGTGGGTGGATGCCGGATTATAAGTTGAAAAACGCGCAGCGCCCGTCGTGTGGGGAAAAAATAGTTAAAAACCCCACTTTTCATTAACTTAATAATTTTAATAAAAACAAAAACAAAAAAGTTGTGCCCTTATGGGCGGTTTGATCCAGGGGACGCGCTCTCAAAAGCTGAGCTATAGGGGTAGGTATTTTAAGGGTTGTCAGAGAATGAGGATTGGGTGCAAGAATTTACCGGGATTGGGATGAGCATTTATCAGTCCCGCACGAACTGCTAATGCTAACAACTAGACCACTATAGAACCTGATAATTGAATGATGGTTGTCGTAGTAGTAGTAAGTTATTAATTCTGTCAACCGTGATGAGGATACTAGTCTGGCCTCAGCTAATGCTGTGCAGATTGCTCTCGTTGAATTTTTTAAAATTTTTGCAGAATAGCCTAGCCTGAACTAGCCCAGAGGGAATAAATAAAAAGCAATTTTATTTTTTAGTTTTATTAACAAAGAAATTTACGTACTTTACAGACAAAAAAAAAATCAATAAATATTTGCTAGTAGCTTTTAAATATTTTATTTTTATTTCCACATGAAGATCTATATTTATTGAAGTTTTATATTGTGGTATGTTTCTGAGTAGATGGAATAGGGGGGTAGACTCCGGCGCTGACCTACTTTCCCACTGACCTACTTTCACCAGACGGTCCCGCCCGCCCACCCGCCACTTTCCTACCATTCGTCCACCACCAGTCGTCAACCGCGAATTTCCTACCCTTCATCCGCTACCATACACCATATTTATTGGCTCCTAGTTGGGGACTTTTCATTCGTACACGATGTCTGATTCAGTTAACTTCAATCGATTCAATCAGCTTATTGAAAAGTTGTCTAGTGAGTTTAAAAAAAGTGCAAGGTATTACGATATCAATTGTATGCGTAGTAGACCTTCATATGTGGATTGGTATCATAATCTAGCTGAAAAACATTATGGTGCAGCTAGTGCTTGTAACGAGTATTTAATAAACAAAAATTTGTTCAATCTATTGGAAAAGTTGACGAGCTTAGGATTTGAAGAGCAAATAGCAGATTTGAAGGATGATATTGCAGATAGAGAGGTAATTAAATATATCGAGGAATAAGAAGAAAAAGTTAGATTTATGGCTGTAGAAGAAGCATTAATTTAATATGGAAGACATTGTGAGGGAATTGTGTGAATACTTTCTAATGTCTAAAGTTTGTTCCGAATTTTATGCCATAGATGGACAGGAAACTGAGGCTCAGGATTTGAGACTATACTTGAGATACATGAAGCATGCACAACAATGTGAAGAAGCAGCACAAACCTGTCGTGAATATTTGATAAATAAAAATTTTGAAATGCTTCTATGGAAATTGAATAGGTTAGAATTAACTAACTGTACTAACTATTTAACCAAATGTATGAAAAAACTAGTTTAAAAAAACTTTTGTATTATTTAATTAAAATGATTTTTACATATTTAATCAATGAAACAATAATTTTAGGCTTTAGTAATAATTGAAAAAACTATGGTATTATAAATGAATAAAAAAAGAAACACAAATTTTTGTAAAGTTTTATTACATAAAAATCTGATCATACAAGAAAAAAACATTTGATAAGGCACAGATACATGGTGATTTGTTGTGATAAAAGCAGCTTAAATCCATTTTCTT